GCGGTCCGAAATTCCTCTCTTTAGTCCTCATAAAAAATTTTATTTCTATGAATACTTGGTACACTCCATAGCACTTAGAATTTACACGTAATACTAAGATGAAAAAATTGGTAACATTTATGCAGAAACATTCATTAGTAAAAAGTAGATCATAGAAACATCACTTGGTAGTTCTCTTGAACACTACGCTTTATTGATAATGCATGCCGCTAAGCACTACGGATAGTACCAACTTGTTATAGGATTTTGAGTTTTTAGAAAAGTTTGTGAGATGAATTTGAGCCTTGACCGAAAGTCCTCATCAAAATGCATATAACGTCTCTTATGGAATGACTGAATTTTTGAAGAATCTTTATAGTAGGATTTAATGTAAGATTTCAGAGACGACGATTTTTCATACAATTTCTATCTGATCGTACAAGATGAGCGATACGATCCTTGTAATATCTTATCATCTGATTAGTTGATCTGAGCAGAGATATAGGTTGAATACTCGTGAGCTACAATGCTCGAAATAAAAATAAGAATAAAAATAATATGGTAAACCGGCAGTTCGACAATTTTTTTTACTGTAAAAAATTCCAGCAGAAGGAGGACAAATTGTCGAAATTCATGTGGCACAGTTTCACATAGCTGAATAATATAGATATCCTCATAACATTTATTTCGTAGGAAAATAAATTTTCTTATTATGCGAAATTATACAATATTGATTTTAGACACAATCGTGGTCATGTAACTCGACTACAATTTCGTCAATGTTTAGCCATAGCTGGTTTATCTTATACACAAAAAGAATTAGAAGCTGTTGAAGCAGCTTTCATTGATGATAATGGTTTTCATTATCGTCGTTTTGTTGAATGGATTCAACCACGTCGTATTGAACCTCTTCGTTATAATATTTTACAGCAAGAACTTAAAAATTTAAATAAACAACGAATTCCACCCGAAATAAAATCATTAACAAGTATTCAAGATGTTTTACAAAAAATTAAAGGACAAGTAAAAAATATTTATTAGATTATTATTCTTAATATATAAGACATTAAATGAAATACATTTAATCTATTCTAAAGGTATATCGTCGTCGAATACGACTCAACGAATGGCTTAAAGATCATGATAAACTAAATTGTGGTCGAATGTCTTTTGATACATTTCGTCGTGCTATAAATCCATGTCAATTAGAATTAACCGAAAGCGAATTATCTCTACTTGAAGATTAGTAAGTTAAAAATTTTATTTTTTTTGTTCAGTTTTTGGTGGTGCTTTTACTTCATTATTTTCATTGAGCGGTTTACCATCGAAAAAGTCAAGTAAATTTTGTACCGTTGTTTCAGCTATATTTTTCAATGCTTCTTCTGTTAGAAATGCCTGATGTGATGTAACAATTGTATTTGGCATTGAAATTAAACGTGCTAATGTATCATCTTCCATAACCTAAAACAAAACAAAATTTTATTTTACGGATAAAACATTAGAAATTGATATGAAAAAAAAAACAAGTTTTACTTGTTGACTATAATCATTAAAAAAATATTCTTTTTCATTTTCATATACGTCAAGTGCAGCTCCTCGTAATTTTCCTGATTTAAGACATTCAACAAGAGCCTTTGCATCGACTAAACCACCACGACTTGTATTAATTAACATTGCACCTTGTTTCATTTTATCTAAAGCTTCTTTATTAATTAAATGATAAGTTGAATCAAGTAATGGTGCATAGATTGAAACTAAAATTAGAAAATGATTTTCAAAAAAAAAACAAACAAACATAAAAGATCTTTATTCCTCATACCAATGTCACTTTGTCGAAGTAATTCATCCATTGTTGTATATACATAGCCTTTTTCTTTTGCTGCTTTTTCATTTGGAAAAACATCATAAGCTAAAACTTTACAACCAAAACCCAAAAATATATTGATTGCACACATACCAATACCACCGGTTCCAATAATACCAACAGTTTTACCAAAAAGATCAATACCAACTAAACCATCCAAACTAAAATTATGTTGTTTTGTGCGAAAGAAAGCATGATGCATATTACGATTGAGTGATAATAAAAGAGCAACTGAATGTTCAGCTACAGCATATGGTGAATATCGTGGTACACGACAAACTTTTATATTATATTTTTCAGCTGTTTCTAGATCAACATGATTAAATCCTGCACTACGTAAAGCAACTATTTTGATAGTATCAGATTTTTTATGAATTGCGTCTAAGACATGAGTGTTAACAACATCATTGACAAAAACACATACACCATCATAACCTTGAACTTCATCTACTGTTTCTTCAGTTAATTTACTTTCAAGAAATGTAAAACGTAGTTTATCTTGACCATTTAAAGCTTTTAATGCTAATTTGAGTGTTTTTTCATCGTATGATTTTGAATCAAAAACAAGAATTTTATGTAGTGTCATCTGTTGTGCTAAAAATAGAAAAATAGAAATAGATTATTAAAAGAATAAGGTATTAAATAAATAAGAAATTTACTTTTCTCGATTGAACTGAATTACCAAGCCTGTGGATGTTATTTTTCTTCTCGATTTCTTTAATTCAATGCTACGAAATGATTTCTCTCTTTTTTTTCTCTTTGGAAGAAAATATAGCCTAGTTGCTATAACTATGAAGAATAAATCAGTAACGATGAAAGTGGCCGGCCACGAGTAAAAAAATAGAAAGAAGAGAACAGAGCGATAAAAAGTTGTTCTAGTAGAAGAAAGCAAAGAAAACGAAAAAGAAAAATACTTGACAATCATATAGACACAGAACGACACTCTCCTATAGCAATGATTATATGATAAAGAAAGAAATACTAAGAAGAAAATGTTTTTTCCTTCGCGTTTAAAGCATTGCTATCATAGCTATAATGGTAAACATCAATAGTTCTTTCTTCCTGCAGACTAAATTCTGCTTATTATTGTTCTTCGATGAATGGATCTTTTCCTATCCAATAGAATATTTTCAATAGAAAAAAACAAGAATCATATTATACTAATTATTTTAAAGTAAAACTAATTAATTTAGAACACGCTAGTGTGTTATAATAATATAATAACTCAAAAAAGAAAACTATGAATATTAACCTCTTTCAATATCAAAGTATCAATGCAAAATATTAAAGTGAAGAAAACGTATTTTAAAATGGTGTCGATCTATCATTATAAATTATATAGCAGTGATAGTAACTATTGACAGTAGTTCTAGACTATTATAGTTTCAAAGCGAATAGTTGTTGATGGATTACAAAAGAAAAGAAGACAAAATCACAGAAGTCGTTTTTTCTTAAAATTTAAAAAGAATAATCTAGCTTGTAAATGAATTTCATAAGATCTAACTATAATATTTAGACATCATTAAAAAATAATAAACATAACAAGACATTCAATCTCATTTAAGTTGCAATTATAAAATATGAATTAAATTTTCTATTTTTTTAACTAACTTGATTAAGATGATATGAAAAATGTTTCTAAAGATCTACGCTTTTGCTGAAAGAAAACCAACTTATCGATAATTGAAGACATTCGTTACATAATTAGCACGTTTGTATGCATGTTCGCAAAACATATAATCGTTGCTATAATTTGCTGATATTCAAACTTTTTATTACTTTTTAATGTTTTGCAAAATATTCGGACACGCATGTATCTTAAAATTATCGTGTTATATTGTAATTCGAAAGATGATATGCTCGAATCTCGTTCAAGTCTAAACTTCACAATTGACTTTATCTTATAGAGACAAAACGGATAAGTATGTTGGGTCCGGTCAAGTTGTTCTAGTTAGACAAGTATGAATGTTAATCAACATAATAACATATTATTTCTGTTGTTTTGTATATGTCAAATCAAGAAGTAATCAATCGAAAGATTTTTGTAAACAGCTTTCAAGATTGACTTGAAAACGATATCATGAACTCAAAACATAAATTTTCTTACATAATGTTTATATTAGTTGATAAATTATTTATTTAATGGAAAATTTTTTATTAAATAATTATTATTTTTTTTATTTTTTTCTTTCTAGTTATCGATCACGTATTGATTCGAATGCATTTGAATATCGAAAATTCTGTGATGAAATTGAATCTATATTTACTACAGATTTTCTTGAAAAAAATCCACTTGTCGAATCAGAACAATACATCGCACTCAAAGAAGCAACAACTATTCAATTAGATCCTGATAAAGAAGATCGTGTAAAAAATGTAATGCATAAATTAGCTGAACGTGTAAGTTTCTTCTTTCAAAACAAAAAAAAACAAATTGAAATATTTATTTCATTTAAAAATAAAACGAAAAGGTTCACACACGTCGTATACAATTATTTCCATTATTTGAAGATTTTGATCGAGTTCGAAATGGTCATGTAACACAAAATCAATTTTTACGTGTATTAAATGATCTTGCCTTATTAACCTTATTAAATGGTTTTGAAAAAGATAATTTATTAGAAAAATTTCGTGTTCGTGTTGGCGGACGAGATGATATTGATTATCTTACATTTTGTCACGAACTTAATGCTTTAGCTGGTTTTGAAGCTGGTATACCATAAAACAAAATACTGAAATTTCTTTTTTTCTTTCGAATAAAAAATAGACACATAAAACTTTTATGCTCTTTTTTTATCGCTTATCGAACATCGAATAAAAACGAAGATCAAAACAATATTTTTCTTCTGAAAAATATAAAATTTCATGAATTAGTATCCTTTAAATTGTTAATATATCTTTAAGATATTTCATAAAACAATTGAAAGATAAAATAGAAAAGCTTTTTCTTCTTGTTTTTTTTTTATTAAATACAGAAATAACTATATAACAATTCTGTAATTGTTTATATATGTTAATAGTTTAAGAATTACAATAACGTAAATGTTAATAAATCACATTTCAATATAACTAATGAAACTACTATTTAGAGTTATTAAGAAATGAATTTTTCTTAATTCCAATCAATGATGGGCTTCAGCTTTTACTGCATCAGTTTTTAATTCATTAAAAATAAATTAAGAAAACTTTGAACAATTGATTCAGCAATTGTTTTTAATGCTTCTTCGGTAAGAAATGCTCGATGTGATGTAACAATTGTATTTGGCATTGAAATTAAACTTGCTAATGTATCATCTTCCATAACCTAAAACAAAAAAATGATAATTAAAAAAAAAATTTCATGAAAAATTCTTTTGTAAAAATATTTATCTTCATGTTCATACACATCAAGTGCAGCTTCTCGCAATTTTTCTGATTTAAGACACTCAACAAGAGCCTTTGTATCGACTAAACCACTATGACTTGTATTAATTAACATTGCACCTTGTTTCATTTTATCTAAAGCTTCTTTACTAATTAAATGATAGGCTGATTCATTCAATGGTACATCAAATGCAACTAACAAAATAATAATAATTCATTTTATATAGAGGAAAGTTATATTACTTTGTCTTACCAATATCACTTTTTAAACTAAAACTTTACAACCAAATTCTCAAAATATTTTTACTGCACACACTCCAACACTACCAGTTCCAACAATACCAACAGTTTTGCCAAAGAACATCAATACCAACTAAGTCATCTAAACTGAAATTTTGGTGTTTAACATATACAATAAATCAATATATTTTCAATGTATTTGTTTTTCTTTATATTTTTTCTTTATACATTTCACTATATTTTTATATTATTCAAGTTTTCCCGCCTGACAAACACATACACAAAAATTTTATTTTTTTATATTTTATTATTATATATATATTTTAATTATTATATTCTCATTTTTCTGCTTGGCAGACATATACGCAAATTTAAAATATTTCAAACTAATTTTCTTCATAAGACCCTTTTATGAAATAAAAGGGAATAAAAATAAAAATGATCGAAAATGTTTATTGTTGTCACCAGTTGATCTGTCGCTGAAAGATGGTTGATTCTCTTCTTTTTCTATTACAGAAACATAAGTTAGCTATGTTAACTATATAGAATATACAGTCGACAACAAGAGCAGTACTACAGCGAGTAAGACAGAAATGAAAAAAATATGAGAGAAAAAAATCGCCTCCAGAAGGAAAAAAACGATGAAAAATGTGTTTTGAGAAACTGATGGACAAAATGACAGAACGTTGCAGGTCTTTACCCGTAGTGTTTGCTTTGAAAAGAGAAATTATTAGAGAAATAATTTGTGCGTCATTTGTATGAATAAGTCACCTAAAGTATCGATGCATGACTTTATTCAATAATAGTTTTGCTTGTCTGATATGAATATTTACACCATTTCAGACTGTTTTATGTTTTCAAATAAAAAATGTTTTTCTCATCAGTATCAACTGCTTAAAAATAAAATGAAACATATAGAGAAATGGACTTTTTTTGTGAAGCTGTATAGATAAAAGACTATACGAATAGAAAATTTTGTTTGAAAACTATTGATTTACATTGTATATGAATACACAATGTCTACAACTAGACTTATAAAATTTATTGGTGCAGATACACATCTTCATGTCATTTGTTGCTTGTTAGTTATGTTGATCATTAACTATTATTCTTATCGATGTGAATGTATTGTTTGTATATAATGATAGTTTTTAAACATGAAATGCGTTATTAAAAAAATTTCGATAGATAAACTTGACATTCGGACATTTCTCATTTTGTTTATTTTCAATCTGAAACATAGTTTCGTGAGATATTCCTTTATTTCCTTTGAAAATATAATGAAAACAAAGCCCGTAATCATACAGATAGATAAGAACAATCATATGTAAAAGAAACAAACAGATTAAGAAAATATAATTATTCAATAATGAGCTAAATTTTTAGAAAAAGGAGATTAATATATAAAATAATTTATTGATGATAAGTTTAAAATGCTCTTATTTTTGATTGAAGTACATTTATTCAAAAAAAAAAACATCACAAGATGAGATGATTATCAGTAGAAGGCAAGTTTCATCAATAAAAAATATCACATCAATGGATTGTTTTCATTTATGAATATTGAGTGTGTCGAAGTGGAGGCATAATAGTATTTACTACTGGTGAACGAAATCTGTAGAAAAGTAAAAATAAAATATAATTAAACTCTGTTTTTCTTTAATTATTATCATATTACCGTTTTTGTTTTGTGATAAAAGATTTAGCTGAATCGGATGATGATTGACGATTACGTAATGAATTAAATCGACCAGATATAATTATTATTGGTCGAGCACGTACACAATAGTTTTCACTTTGAATTTCAAGCCAAAGACGATATTTTCCATTATTTAAATCATGGATTGTTGCTTGATGTGTAGCAGCATCATAATCACCATGTAAACGTACAGCATGTGTTGTAAGATTTTCCGAATATAACTATCGAATACAAACAATTAATATCATATTTTTAAATGAAATTAGGGATGCACCAATTCATAGAATATGATGTCACAGATGACATGTTTTTTTTTCCTTATTAAGAATGTAGTTCCTGTAGATTGTTTATAACAGTCATGATCAGTTTTCTTTTACTCTATCCGAAGCCGTAGTCGAAATACGTGAAATAGAAAATAAAGGTTTTTTAATTAGTCAAAAAATTTGCGTTTTTTTTTGATCGATTTCAATTGATTTTGAGATCCGTGTTTTGAATTAGACAAAAGTTAAGAATAGATGCAAGAAGAGCGTCCAAAACTGAACACAACTGGCATGAATAATCGTTAGTAGTCCAGTAATTCTCAATACTGGAAATATTCTAAACTTCGATTAGAAATTCAAGGAGTTAGTTTATTCCTGCTTACAAAACCACTTGCTAAGCATTGAGAGCTACCGAACTTCTAGCGACTCTCCATGTCAGCAATGTTCAGTCTTTAGCTCTCTTTCCGAATCTATTCTTAGCTTTTGTCTAATGCAAAATAGAAGTCTCAAAATCATTTTGGATTGGTCAAAAAATTTGATTCACAGGAGCTATATTCTTAATAAGGAAAAAAAAGGTCATCTTTGATATCATGTTCTAGGAATTGGTGCATCCCGAACTAAAATTGTGAAACTAAAAGATTATTAAGAAAACAAATACAACTTCTACACTATACAACTCCATAGATATGCAAGTAAACTCCCTAGAAATATTGGATATAGAATATTGTCGATTACATCCAACATTCTATGATGAATATTTCTCATCTGAAAAAAGCTCAAGACCGAATCGATCTGAATTTTATAAGACACAAGTTTTTCCGTAAAAATTAAATGATATAAATTAACAATAAAAATTTTACAAGTGTTTCATTGTTGATTTGACTCTCATAGTTTGGTCTTTAGAGGATGAAAACTGAAGTTCTTATAAAAATACGATTCTGTCTTTCCTTTTTAATCCTTTAATATTCTTGATTTCTTCAAAGTTAAACTCATTCTTATACGTCGTTCAATATTTTCATACTTTAAATCCAATCAGTTTTTCCATTTCATCTTCTAATTGTGGATGTTCCCAAACAACAATAATAATTCCTGTTTGTCCATCATCCATACGTTTGAATGCACCTGGTTTAATTCCAGGCCATGAAAATTGTACACCACGTGACATTGGACTAACAATATTTTTATCATTACTTAATGCTTTTACATGTACGGTATAAATATCACATGATGTACCATTTGTTAATGTATATGTTAATTGATCATGTGCAAGTATAGCTGCTAAACGATTGTTAACAAAGATTTGATAACCAACAACTGTTATTTCACCATAACTTGCTGCTGGACGCCATTCAAGTTTAACACGATCAGTTGTACGTTCACTAAAATAAAATTTCAAAGTTATATTTCTTCATCAATGTTTTCTTGTTTTTTCTTTGCAATTACCTAATAGCAACAATTGGAGCATTTGGTGGAGCATTCATTTGAACAGTAGTTTTATCTGATATATATAAAACACCACCATTTTTATCAGCAGCCATAACCATTATTCCATAAGTAAAACCTGGTCGTAAACCACGTAAAACCTTAATAAGAAACAAAAACAGACGAATAGAAACTTTCATCTTTCGTAGAAATTATTCTTTAACTTACAAAATGTCGAAATCGTTTCAATACTTTCATTGTTTGTACTTCTCCATTATTTAAACAAGTATAATGAATATAATAAGCACGTATTTCTGCTGTAGGTAAAAATGATGTCCAATCAAGATGAAGTTTTTCTTCATTAATTGCTTCAATTTTTAATGGTATAATACGTGCTATATTACGATCAAATGATGTTGGACTTCCATCGTCATTATTATAATAAATTGTTGGAATGAGACTCGTTGTTGGTGTTGTTATAACAGTTAATGTTTGAGACATAGCTGAACGTGAACGTAATGGATTATTTGTTATAGCACATACATTAACTTGATATGTACGATTAATACGTGAGGGAATTTCTGCACGATGTAAATTAACTTGAATAACATCACCTTTCTTTTTACCTTCGATAAATAATTGATAACCAATAATTGGTATTCCATATGATTTTGGTTCAGACCATTCGACAATAAAATTTGTATCAGATGTTTTAACAAGCCATAAATTAGGTGCATCTGGTTCGCCTGGTATTGGTATTCTTAATGGTTCATATTGAAATCTATTACGATCATTAGTAACAATAATAATTTCAATAACATAATAATGTTTTTCATCACATGAATCTAAAGATATTAAAGAAAAAAACAAGTGAAAGATTTTTGTTATATTTATAATTGAAATATAAAATTTTGACTAACCTATAGTAAATGATGTTTCATTAGCAGGTATTATTTTATGTTGAATTTGTAAATCTTTTGATGAATGCCATTGAAGAATAAAATGTGAAATATTTTTAGAATCTGATACTTCCCATTGAATATTTATTTGTCCTAATGATTGAGCGTTATTTTGTTGTCTTATTGTATTTTCATTTGATTCATGTGGATTAAATTCAAAATTAGCTCGAAATGAACGAAGAAAGTCTAAATACAAAAAAAAATATTGGTGAGAAAAATAATAAACTCTTTTTTTTTTAATTTACCGTCTTTTTTTAACATTCGAACAGATAACATTTTCGATGGAGTTTCCTCAAGTTCGTCAACATCACTTGTATCATTAGTTATCTTTAAAAGAAAAAAAACGAAGAAAAGAAAAACTTTCAAAATTTGACTAAAACTTTTGTTTTACTATATCATGCATATATTCATTTTGAGCAATAGTTCGTACAAATAATTGAACTTTATAAATTTCACCTGGTTGACATTCAGTCAATATACAGTTACATTGATTTTCTTCTAATATATTTTGTGTATGTCCATCAACATCAATTTTATATCCAAGTAATCGACGATGTATCTTAAGTTGTTCATTGAGTTTTTCTGGATGATCAATAATACTGAACATATGTGGTTTATTCCATGCTAAATCAATAGTATTTTGTGTATAACCCGTTAAATAAATTGCTGGTTTTTCACATATGAGTGGTATATGAAAACGTACTGTTGCTGAATGCGTTGTTGTTAAACGAATTTCTTTTCGACTTGTTTCATCATCATCATCTTCAAGATTTATTTTTACGCT